CTTCATGAGTGATATAATCGCGTCTCCTGGTAACCATCTTTACATATGTATTGACCATTTTCTATTGACTTGGATTTTAAACCTTTTGGTCACCTGATTTACTTTTAATTGATTAAAAATGCCCATTAAAATTTTCAAAAGAATAGACACGGAACAAAGAGAACTCTTGTCGATATTTCATCAATATTAACGTGTTTGTTAATTGCATTTTCGCTTGAGTACCAGGCTTCTAGGAATTCCCTGGCACTTATGGTGTCTCGTCTGTCTAAGATTTTGACATTATCCCAATCAAACTGATGACCATAATTCTCTATATGCATTGATACTAAAGAATACATATCGTGTTTTTTCACGGCTGATTGATTGAGGCTTGTGAAACAACACGGAAAATATGAAAGGAGGTCAGTGAAGCTCAATACGGTAGACAAAGAAGGAATACATTATCGAAGATATATATCAATGGTAGACGTATTCTCCTCATATTTGTACATAGAGTTGCCAAATAATCTTGTCTTCTACCGTTACAGTAAATCTGTTGCTTTCTCTATCCATATTGATCTAATTCTTTTTATCAATTAAGCTAAATAACAGTGGTTACAACCAACAACTGTCAGATAACTTTAGGGCTATCTAGTTAGTTATAATGCTTATCATGAATCATATGCCTATATGTTTATCAACTATCAATCACTTATCTGATTGGATGCCTCAAGGTCAAGTTGGTGGGTCATTATCTTTTGACCGTGAAATATTTCGCCTGAAAAATGAATATCAAATTTCTACTGATAAATTAATAAATAAATAATAAGAATAAGAAACTACCTTCAGGCATATTTTACAGGCATTACATAAGTGACCGTTGCGAATATCCTGAAAAATCAATCTGATATGCTTTCGAGTTTGATCATGGAATCACTGAAATCCAGGGAGTACTGAACAGCTGTTTCACCAAGGTTTAGGATTCATCGTCACCCCCTGCCATGGTTCGAAACCAGAACTTTCCGGTTACAAGGTGACCTGGTAGACCATTCAGCCACTGAAACCTGACTCGCTGGTTACCCCATGAATTCTAACTTCTACCAATTCGTGATTTTAGGGCGACTGGTACCACCAGTCAATCATCCTCACTCCCAAATTGGTGTACCCAACTGGTCACGACTTCTCACTAGAACTTCAGGCAAATTCATCCTCTAGTCAGTTACTAGCGGGCATCAGATATAGTTTCAAGAGTAATTTTGTAGGTATTTGATTTGTTTCATGTGGTGTAACCGGTAGGTCCTGGGTTCGAACCCTGGCGGTAGATGCACAGTGATGATGAATCCCAAACTAGGACGAAACAGCTGTGCAGTATTCCCAGCTGGTTTTTAATGGTTCTCTAACTGATATCAATCCGTGATCAAACTTAAAATACACCAAATCTCTATGAGCAAACTCGCGAAAATTCGATTTTTGTTGGTACAGAATGCATTAATTTAAGAAAAATTACAGACGGCTTTTGTCTAGGTCAAGATGTAGTGATACACTGAAAGGTATTTAATTCAACAGCAAAAGATTGACATTTAATTCCAGGTTGTACTACTTACAACCCCATATATAAGTAGTACTCAGTAGGGTATTTTTTGCCTGAAAAATAATAATGGATTGTATTTAATAGGCAAGAAACACCACAGAAGAAGTGATAGGGTCAAGAATCAAATAAACTTTCTTGGGATTGTATTTGTTTGTACCAACCTCAGTCCTCTCACTGACCTGACATTCGACCTTTTTGTTGTATAACCAATTTTTTTAGTGATTTGATTTGTATCCCCCACATTGTCTATTAAATGCAAAAAACTTATTTGAGTACCAGGCCTGCAGGAATTCTCTGGAGTTCTCTGTGTGTCTCCTATCACTAAGATTTTCGCATTGTTCCAGTTGAATTAGTGTCCATAGTTGTTCGACCAAAGGGCGTGTGTACTGCTCAACAGTCCGCTCCGTCCTCCTTTATGGCTGTGAGCGAGACTTGGCCACTGAGAGTGGAAGACATGAAAAGATTAGCTGTCTTCGATCATAGGTGTCTGCCTTCTATCTCCCGCGTGAAGTGGTATAATAAGGTGAGCAATATTGAGGTTAGGCATCGGTCGAGTGCTAAGTTAGGAGGGGAAATCAATCGACGAGGCTGTGAAATTACATCGACTGAGATGGTTAGGACATGTGTTACGTATGCCTAGTCATCGCCTTCCTCGACAATGGGTAATGTTAGCTGATAAAGGGTCAGACTGGAAAAGAGCTAGCACATGGCGGTCAAACCAAAACATGGAACCAGTCAATGAAATCTACAACAGTTAGTCTAAGCCACGTAGGAAGGTGTAGACTTCTTGGCTGGTTGGGGTCCTCGGGATGGTAAAAACCAATCGTTGGAAACAATTGGTGACATGGCTCAAACTCATCGTTCTCAGTGACTAGCGCAGATGCATCCACCCCTTGTGACTTATGATTTCCAATGAAACTGTTTTGTTCTTCGTTATTACTACTCCTTTGTCTCACACCTCTCTTTACTGACTATATTATGCATTTCTTCTACTTTCTTCTCTTGCTTTGTGTGGTACAAGGAGGGAGTGTGGCGACTTGAACTGGCGCACACATGTGCAAAGTTCTATGTCGAAGGCCGACCGACCGACCGTAGTTGTTCACATGAACTCATATGAACAAATGAATGAACATTATCACGTCATCTATCTTTATGTTTGTGACCATGAAGGTGAAGGTGAAAAATAATTCCTCAGTTTTAATTTCTTTCACCGTTGAGTCTTTTGTTTTTGTTTAAGTTAATTTTATGTGTCTGGTTGATTGATTTCGACTGATATTGGACTCAAATATTCAGTCTGTGTTGAGACATACTGGCTTCTAGTATGGATGCCTTGACGATGTCTTAATATGAAGATGATGTTATTTGGTGCGTAATGACAACCAAGTGGAATCCAGAATCCTTTCTGGGACTTGTTATTCGGATATACCTGCATGTCGAGTAAGTGATGACGTGATGCTGACGCCTGAGGTTCCACTCCAAGTACCATGAACCAAATCTAACCTTTGCGAATTCGTCGTATAATGTTAATTCCACCCAGATTCACTGTTATTCTGTTTCTACTCTTAATGAACTTAGGTTTCAATGTATGTTCAGCTGATAAGTCTAAAAACAAGCGGATTACTCTCCTTTATTATACATTGTTACTCAGGTGGCCTACTTAAAACTTGGGCTACCGAAAACCTTCATCAGAATGTTGCATATAATTCCGCTTGTTCACTTTGTTTTAACACCAGAACAGGCTGGATTCAGGAGTGGTAAATCATGTTCTGACCAAATTGCAACTCTACGCATCATCATCACAGAACAAAGCAGGGAATGGCAATCAAATCTCTACCTCAACTTCATAGACTTTGAGAAGGCCTTCGACAGCGTTGACTACGAAGGAATTGGGAAATTACTCGAGTACTACGGCGTACCCCAAATATTTATCAACCTTATTCAACAGCTGTATGACAACGGCACATGTCAAGTGATCCACAACGGAAAACTCAGCCAGGCGTTCGGAGTAAACGCAGGAGTCAGACAAGGGTGCATATTGTCACCAATGATGTTACTAGTTGTGGTGGACTGGATTATGCGTAAGATAGTGGGAAACGAGAAGACAGGGATATCCTGGACTGACGTGAAGAACCTAGAAGACCTGGATTTCGCGCGTGGATGATTTATGTTTGATGTCACACAAAATCGAAGACTTACAAGCGAAAACCGTCGAAGAAGCAGCAAAGACAGGATTCCAGGTGAACATAGACAAGACGGAAGTTATGAAAATAATCAACCAACAACAACAGCAACATCCAGTGCCAATCACCATCAACGGGAGGGATTTGAAAGAGGTGAGTGACTTCATTCACTTATCTAGGCAACCAGCATTGTCTCAACTACAGTAGGAACGGACGAGGATGTCAAATCGAGAATCGGGAAGGCGAGAAACACATTCATCAACCTGAAACCAATCTGGAAATCTTCGTCACTCAACTCAGCATCAACAACAAAATTCGGATTTTCAATACAAACGTCAAGTACTACTATCATCAAAAAAATTTCAATTTCTCTGAGATTGTAGAAAAATATTTAAATTTTACATATATCTACTTCCCACTCAGTACGCAATTATTATAGAACTATTCTATCAAATCTTGATCACAGTTCATATGAATTATATAAACATTGTTCAGAATAAAGCTGTTATTTTGATTAGACACTAGTAACTAGTGAGACGTGTCAAGTCTTTTCTTTGGTGCAGACTGAATTCTATCAGTCAGCTTTGTAATGTGGCCACCATTCTAGGTAGCTCGCTATCACGGTGCACATTGATTTGATGATATTAGATGGTTGGAAGCAATCAGCAGGAAGTCTTGCCAGGACCTAGGTTTTGTGCTAGTCGGCACTCACCAGTTAGTCAGCAAGGCGTATCTGCAACCTTGAAGGAACTCATGTCCCTTCTGAGATTCGAACCCGCGTCACCCAGTGCTGCCTGCAGTCAGAGAAGTTACCACTGAGCTATTCGGGCTCGCGATTGACCTCCTGTAGGACTGTAGTGGATACTTTGCAAACCTGACTGACAGAATTCAGTCTGCACCAAAGAAAGGACTAGACACATCACACTAGTTACTAGTGTCCAATCAAAGTATCCACTATAGTCCTACAGAAGGTCAATCACGGGCCTGAATAGCTCAGTCTCTGATTGCAGGCAGCACTGGGTGACGCGGGTTCGAATCTCAGAAGGTACATGAGTTCCTTCAAGGTTGCAGATACGCCTTGCTGACTAGTGAGTGCCAACTAGCACGAAACCTAGGTCCTGGCAAGACTTCCTGCCGACTGCCTCCAACCATCTAATATAAAGCTATTATTATTATTATAAATAACATAGATATACTATGTTCACTATGAAAGTAGTTCTTTCTTTCTTTCTTTTTCTTCTATTTTTCAGCGCTGATCATATAAATTCAGGTTTTTTAGAAGGTATATACGTTTTAGTGCATAGCTCCGGTAAAGTGACCTGGTCAATACCAGTCCAATTGAAAACCTCGTGTAAAGTTGACATAACACTATTTCCATTTGATTATCAAAATTGTGAAATACAATTCGGGTCATGGATTTATCAATCTGATTGGATTGAATATCAATTTGAAACTCAATCGTTACAAGAGAATTCGACGACAACAACATCATCGTCATCATCGTACAGAATGAATCATTCTGAAGAAGAATTCAACAATGATGAAGTCAATAATGGTATTATCAATGAAGATTACCTAACAAAGCATGCCTTAGACACTTCATCCTACTGGGATAGTTCTGATTGGATGCTTTTACATGCATCATTAGCTTACACGTATCGTTCAACTGATTCATTGACTGTATGGAAACCAACGACAACAACAACAGTATTGAATATTGAACAAAATTCAAACAAAATTGAAACATTGAAGCATACAAAAAAACAAACTGATTTAGTGCTGAAATTATATTTACAAAGAAGAAGTTTCTTTTACATATGGAATATTGTTGTCCCGTGTATTCTACTCACTATGCTTACACTGGTCACTTTTTGGACACCAGTTGTTTCCGGTGAAAAAGTTACCCTTGGTTTGTCAGTATTTTTAGCTTTTTCTATGTTTATGATGCTGATAGCTGAACGTGTACCACCGACAGCGAAAAGTATTCCACTTATAGGTAGGTGATCATTTTATTTTAGTGTTTGTTTGTTTGTTTTGTTGTATTTTTTTGAGTTATTTAGAAAGGATTTGGTCTTTATGGCGGTTATTTTCCCTTGACAGTTTTGTTGTTTGAGTGAAGACTTTTCTGATGGGTATTGGAGATTTGACTGATTTTTTTTATTCCTTCACTTTCCAAGTGGAACATAGGGCTTCAAGCTAGAACCTTGAAATTTCTGTAGCAGTGTTTATTTTTACAGGATGAGGTTGCTAGCCACATGCCCAACCTTTCCTCTTTACCAGCATTATTTCTGGCTAAGAGAGGTAAAGGAGTGCGTCGGCCGGGGATCGAACCCCGGACCATGTGCATGGTTGGCGAGCGTCCTAACCGCTATGCCACCGACGCCGATTTGACTGATAGGATTCAGTATTAGTTAGTTTATTCGATGTATCACACAGTCAGTGAAACAGTATTAGTATTTACTGGATGACACAGTTTCGAACAGAATTTATTGTTCATAATCATTTCATCAATTATGATCACACGACTTCGAAACTTGAGTTTTATAGTTTTCTTTGTCCTCTCGTATTTGTCATCGTTGGGGTAGTAGATGACACATGTAGATGACACATTCATTGTACTTAGAACACAGGATATAGGTAGATTTTTCGAACACATTAACTCAAATGTGGAAGCAATTCAGTTCAGTTATGCACTGGAAAGTCAGGAAGGCGAACTTCCAATGTTAGATTGCAGCGTATAAAGGAAAGAAGATGGGAGGTTAAACACCAGTGTTTACAGGAAACCCACACATCCAAACAGATATTTGGACTACCGATAATCTCATCCCATGTCAGTGAAAATAGGATTGGTGACATGTTTAGGTGACAGAGCATAAAAACCAAGTAGTACCAAGGAAAATCTAAGACATGATGTGAGACATATAAGAGAAGCTTTGAAACTTAATAATTACCCTGATAAATTAATCAGGAAATATGTAGGGAAATGTAAAAATAAAGTAAATAATGGTAGTAGTGGTAGTGATCATAATAATAATAATAGTAACATCAATGACGACATGCATGTCAAATATGTGCAAGACAACACCAACAATAAGGAATCTAAATCATCAGTAGTAATTCCATACAAGGAACCTTGGAAACCATACTCAGAATTCTTAACAAGGTAGGAATAAAAGTGACTGGCATTCAAACCACCCACAAACTCAGTTAGAAACAAGCTTTGTCGGTTAAAGGAGCAATCATGTGGAGCCTTTAAAACAAAACAATTTAGTTTATCCAATACCCTGCCGGAATGATTGTCAGGTGAAATACATAGGTCAAAGTAGTAGAACATGGGCAGTCAGACTAGCCGAGCATAGAAACCTAGCAAAATCCAGATTAGTTGACCCGAATAAGATAAGAAATCTAGAGAATAGTTCAGCTATAGCACTTACTACATGCAATTACACACAACCATACAATGTTGGATGGGATAAGATGACAGTTTTAAAATCTAATGCAATTGACAGGGTGGAGGGAGAGATCGATGGCAAAGCGGTTAGGACTCTCGCCGACCATACACATGGTCCGGAGTTCGATCCCCTGCCGACGCACACTTGATATCAATGGTCGGCCTGCAAAATTTGGGCTACCGATATCGCATGCTGAAAATTCCATACTTGTACCAAAAATGCTGTGTGGTTTCAAGCTATAATCAAAATAAAAAATAAAAAAATAAAAAATAACGGAAGTTTTATTTATCGCATCAAGTGAAGAGAATACGTGTAGCGGGAATGATTCAACACCTGTCCACCTGGACATCTGGAAAATTCTACTATCTCAACGACGATAAATAGGAGAGAACAAAGGAAACTATAAAACTCAAGTTTCGAAGTCGTGTGGGATTATAATTGATGAAATGATTATGAACAGCAATAAACTTTGTTCGAAACTGTGTCATCCAGTAAATAATGCTGTTTCACTGACTGTGTGATACATCTAATAAACAAACTAATATGAGATTACTTACTACCACAGTGCCCAAGTTATACACATATATTGATAAGATTCAGTTTCATCAAGCATAGTACTAGATGGAAGATATTAGTTGCTACCTAATGTCCATTCAAAGTGTCCTTTAATCGTGAGCCCTAATAGTTTAGTGATAACGTCTCTAGCTGAAGCGCTGCTTGACTTGGGTTAGAATCTTAGAAGGGACTTGGTGACGGAATGTGTACTTGGAACTTGATATCTGTGTTTATCCAATATGAAAATCCTTATTGACACACATCTTTTGTGTTGTGCAAATTCTGCCCTTTGTATTGTGTTTTTTTGTCTTCTTTTCGCGTCTCCCATACTTTGCTGCAATACTCGTTCGTTTCCTCTTCTTAACATCAATTTTATCTCTCGGCGATTTGATGTTTTTGTGCCGATGAACATCTGTTTATATACTACAAGGTAGATGTTGTCAGCAGCACACGTTACATTCTGTCGCTGACGAGTGCCAAAAAGCACGATACCTAGAACCAAAGCTTCCTACCAATTTTCTCCCAAAAACTAATTGAAGGTTTTTTGAATCTTTGAATTTGTAGGCATACCGTTTATTGTCAATATAGACTTCATCATCAAAAGCCATCAGTAGGACTGTGTTCGAAACCCCAGTACGGAAGAACTCGTCAGTGTCCATCGGTGACATCAGTCACCGTAGCTGTGGTCGAGCTGAAACCAAGGATTAAACAACTGTCCAGCTCTCAATGAATTTCAATACCTCTATAACTGATGTCTATTTGTGGAAAATTCTCTACTTATCTTAATGTTTATGCTAGATAGCTTGACGTTATTGACACTGTGGGACAGTGAATTCTGTTTTCATTCTGATAACCCACTTGTTAACAAAAGTGAATTTCTTAAAATCCGGACTGCTATCATACAGCTGATAGTCAGAGACAAATTAGCACTTACTAGTTGGAGACATTGTGTTAATTTATTCGGTTTTTGGAAATGTGATTTATGACAAATTGAACTTCATCATGACTTTATATTAACTAGAGAAACCTACTGAGAAGCAAGGAGGATTGGACACTTGGTATTTTCGCCCAGCAAATATGCAGGAGAAAGTGGAGATGGATTGGACACTCACTGAGGAGGCCGCTGGGTGACATCGCGCGTCAGGCCATTAGTCGAGTGGAACCCGAAAGGGAAGCGGCGAGTGGGATGTCCAAGGGTGACATGGAGGAGATCGTGTGAAGAGGAGTTGAAACAGTATGGACTAATATGGATGCAGGTGAAAAGTACAGCAGAAGACAGAAGCAAGTGGAGACGTGCAGTTGAAGCCCTATGTTCCACTAGGAACCCAAGGGAACAATAATATAATAATAATGGGACTTTCCAAAAGAAGCGCATTTACAAATAAAAGCTGGTATCTATTCTAGAATTGTTGCCATGCCACATATAGGCTGAACAAACTGCAATTCAGCCAGTGCGTTAAAATCTGACACATTACGACTCCTAATTCCTGCCAATTTGCGGTACACTGAAATAACTGTCCATACATGGCGTTTTATAAAGAGTAACTAAGCTATTTTCTTAATTCAACCCAGCTAACAGAAGAATTTATGCCATTCTAAAAAATAGAGCAGAAATGTCTAATATATCCGGTTGATTGGAAAGACCTAGACCCCTTGACTGATAGTATAAGTACTACTTAGTTGATTGTAGTTAACAATGGAATCCCAGATATGAGTTTCGTCCTATCTAGGACTCATCAACCAGTTTTATCTGTAGCCTAGTGAGTGACAGTATGTTTTACACATGGACTCGAACCCATCACCCATACAATTAAACGTCAAAGCGTTACCCAGCAAGCTGCAAAAACCACTTTTTGTGTATAGGGTATCAGCTGTTATCTCTTAGAATAAAACTTGACTATTTGAAGTTCTGTAAATTTCATGTTTATCAAATACTGTTGACCGAGAATTACCATCAGGTGTTACTTTTTTGTGCCTTTACGTTCCGAGTGGAACATGGGGCTTCAAGCTTGAACTCTGGGTTTTCGGTAGCAGTGGTTTTATGTTTACTGGGTGGGTTTGCTAGTCTCAGTTCCAACCTCCTCTCTTTTACTGGCCCTACTACCGGCTTAGCCAGGTCTAAGCGTGTGTCGGCGGAGGATCGAACGCCAGATAACGTGAGTAGTTGGTGAATGTCCTACAGCTGAACCTCTATCTATCATCTACTTTATGAGGATTTTATTGAAGTACAACTGATTACCTCCTGAGAGATAGAACTCTAGTGGTTACAAGATGGATACGTTGCTATTCGCAGCCATTATACTGAATTTTTTTGCTTTTATCATTAGCGTACATCAAATAAGAATCTGAAAGCAAGAATAGACTGTTCTCTTTTTCGATTGTTGACTTACTGTTCTCGCCTCCTGTTTTTCATATTAAAAGTTACTGGATGCGGCAGGTCATTCAACAAATGGGCAGTCCGAGAGTCTTGTTACCGCCTGAAGTGTTTTTCAAAGTTCATCAGAACACTTCTACTTTCCATAATGCCTCTTACTATGGAATATTCAACTAACATGCATCAGAAAGTAGTATATGGTGTGACATATTCTACTGTTTGTTGTCCTATCTAGTCAGGCTCTTAATATTCCTTCATCACTAGCGCAACCATCGGGTTCGCTTCTTATAAGGGAGGCTAGTAGGTGCACTTGAGAATCCTCATAAAAAATAGGCGACTTGTCAACGAAACTCCTACAGCCAGCTGGTCACCATCTAGGTTGAGCCTTAGGCTCCTAAACTTCTTCAGTACTTTTTATCCACCGGAATATCGAAATTTGAAGGCAGCTTCTAGGCTACAACTCTCAATCAGCGCTTGGTGAACTGTGGTAGACAATGTTCACCTGACCTCGCCTAAATTTCCCCATTTATCCTGTTTTCAAGTTAATCCATAAATAAAACACAAAATAATCGAGCAAAGAATATTCTTTTCGATAAATTCCTCTTCCAGGCTCTACAATTATATATATGTTTATATACACAGAATATTTTAAATTAGTAGTTAATAACAATATTAGCGTTTTTTAAATAATATCGACGTCCTTATGACCAGAAAAGAGGATGGCACAATAAGAAGAAGTGTTTATAGAAAACCTACATCAATGGGCCAGTACACACATTTTCTCAGCTTTGTGCCCTTGAAATACAAACGCAATCTGATAAGGTCCTTGGTTCATACAGCAAGAGCAATCTGCTCGGAGGAATGTCTTGATAAGGAACTTAATAATATTAAACAGTTGCTGAGTGAAAACGATTATCCAGAAACGTTTATTGATAAGAATATGAATCTAAAATCAAAGCAACCCAAGGTACCAACAGTTCCTAAAAAGGCCATATTCTTACGAATTCAGCTCCTCGGGGACAATACCAGCGAGATAATAACACAGCGCCTTAGAAATGCGGTAAACAGAGCATTCCCTGCTGCTGAATTACGCTGTGTCTTCAAAACCACTCATCTGTTGCGTTCAGGAGTAAAAGATAAACTGCCTAATTTCCCCTCTTCTATGTGTATCTACCAATTTAACTGCTCCTGTGGAGCCAGTTACATAGGCCGTACAATTAGGCGTGTTTCTCGTCGAATTTCCGAACATCACCCTGCCTGGTTAAGCAAAGGTCAAACAAAATCTATTCGCAGCGCTATTCTGGAGCATCTTGTGGAGACAGAACACAAGATTGACGTTAATCATGCTTTCAGGGTCATTTACCGCATACCTACGAATCTCAATTTCGCTTTAAGAGTTCGACTTCTAAATATTGCTGAGGCTGTGGGGATTCATATTAATAAGCCTAATTTATGCACCCAAAAGAAGTTAGTTCAGTCATTATCATTACCTTGGCCATCCAGGTTTGAATAATCCTGAATTTTTGTGAAATTTCCCTAATTTTAGTTGATATTCTATTCGCTGTTATATCTTTATTATTATTATTATTATTATTTAAGCATCTTTAATGAACTGTAATAGCATTGACCATACTTTACAAATCGATATTATTTAAAAAACGCTAATATTGTTATTAACTACTAATTTAAAATATTCTGTGTATATAAACATACAGATATATAATTGTAGAGCCAGAGAGGAGGAATTTATCGAAAAGAATATTCTTTGCTCGATTATTTTGTGTTTTATAGATGTCTGAATGAATATTTTTGCTATAATCCATATATGTTTAATATTCAAGATTCTTTCAAACTTTCACACAATAAACTACTCACAAATTCTTATCAGTAGCCTATGCCATATATTAACAATTCTCTTACTGAATTATTCACCACACGGGAGTAAATTTCTTTTCCTTTTTTTATATATTTTTTCTTATTCTCAAGGTGTGTATATGACTTCAGTAATGACATTAACAGTTGGATCAGTTGTTGCCTGTGTGATTGTGATAAATTTGGATTCAAGAGGTGAAAAGTTAACACGTGCACCGAAGTTTCTACGTCGTCTCATTCAAACTCGCTTAATTCGCATGTTTTACAAATATGATAATATCAACAAATCTGCTGTTGTATCTTCTATAGTAAGCTACAATTTTATGTATATATATACATATATATATATATATCATCAAGTGTTGGTTTTTAGGGATTTTATTGGTTACAGGTTTGGTTGCGAGTTGACATTAGTTACAGGACCATCGAAAAACCTGGGAATAATGGACAGTTGTTTCGTCCTAGATTGAGACTCCTCACTTCACGTACTCAACCAAGGTTCGAACTCAAGACCTTCCGGTTACAAGGCGAGCTCGCAAACGGTTCAGACGCTGGGACCCAATCCAATATTCTTCCTATTCGTGATATATATCGCCACTACCAGGAAATCTTTATCTGCCAGGAGTAAGACAAGACCGCCTATTATCACCTATGATATTATTAATTGTGGACTGGTTTATGCGTCAGATTGTGCTTTGGGAGTGAGAAGACAGGAATACGTTGGACCACCAATAAGAAGACTCCAGGAGATATGGATTTAGCGGGTGATTAATGTCTCATGTCACATAAACTCAAAGACTTACAGGAGAAAACCAACAAACTGGCTGAAGAAGCAGCCAATGAAGACAGGACTCCAGGTGAACATAAAGAAGACAGAGGTGATGAAGATAACCAACCGCCTAACCAGCAGCAACAACAACAATCAGTACCAATCACCATCATATGGAGAGATTTGACAGAGGTTACTTCATGCCCTCACTTATCAAGACAGCATGGTTTCAACCACTGGCAAAACCGCCAAAGATGTCAAATCCAGACAGCCAGAATCAGAAAGGCAAGATACGCCTTCATCAACCAACCAGAAACCAGTTGAGAAATCATCTGTACTCGGCAGTCAGCATCAAGGACAAGATTCGGATTCTATTCAACACAAATGTCCAGCCAGCAAGTCATCAGTCAGTTCTTCCATACGGGTAAGAAGCTGGGCCAGCGTGTCACGACAAAGATTTCAAACAGGTCACTGCAGACTTTCATCAACAGCTGTACACTTCACTGGCTCCAAAATGAAGATCAAAAGGCCACTGAGGAAGAATTACCAACGAGAAAATATTGCTCAGTAAATATTCCTAAGGAAATGGAGATGGATTGGGCACATGCTGAGGAGACAGTAGAATGACATCACCTGCTGAGCCAAATATCGATTGGAACATGGATTTGAAATAACGAGTAGGATAACCAAGAGTAACATGGAAGAAATAGTGCGAGGAGGACATGAGAGACTATGGGCATTTGTGGGGCCAGCTACAGAAGACGGTAGAAAATAGAACAGAGTGGAAACTTGCTGTTAAAGTCTTATGTTCCACTCTGAACCCAAGGGAACAATAATAATAAATAATAAAATCTTTCATCCAGTCCAACTTTTACTGGTCCTCTAACAGATTCTCGATCAAACCTGAAATCGATAATATCCCTTCAAGTGTTTTTTGAATTGACTACTCTATTTAGTGTTTGTCTCTATGCATATAATTATAGTCAGTAATTATGTGTAGAGTAGAATTATTGATCTCATTTTTCAAAAGACACTAAAGGTCAATCAGCACAAAGCTTTGACTATACACAATCTCTATTAATCAATAATGATAAGAAGCTTTCACATTTCACACATTCACTTGACAGAAACTCAAACTCAGCATGCTCGAATCAGTCAGTCATTTTTCTAAACTTATCTACTTCACTAGTCAGCCGTTTAATTTAGAGGTGAATACGGCAATTTCAGTGGCTAAGTAAATGTCACAGGCACAACTATCCAATGAAAACTGAGTACTACTTAGACAAACTTTCTGGTGTAAATTTTTACTACTCGTGAGTAGTGTAAACGTTATGGATAAAATAAACCTGTTTGAAAAATGAATGAACCAATCTAGTTTGCAATTCACGCAGCTCGAGGGGATTATTTCACCACAGTATGCTTTGGAAACCAAGATTATTCACATTACAAAGTGTGATCTGCTTGATACCACAAATGATAATTAAGAAACTACTGGCTGGTGTGAGTGATATGCAATCAGTAGTATGTGGTTGGTTTTATGAAAGGACAAATATTGGAGCAGAGAATAATATGGATGCATTTTATTTCATGGTTCCTCTTCTCCTGCCTAAAACTTCTAACAGTTAAAAATACAATGAGTTATAATCCAAGCATCTACCCATTTTCTTTCATCAACAGGAATCAGTCCTGCAGTAAAGAATACTGCTACAATATTATAGAAATTCTAATGGGCCGCAAACTTATATCAATAGCTGCCCACTTCGCTGGCTACATACTGAAGATTAGATGGCCAGTAAGAAAGAATTAGCAACAATAAACTCCGAAAAAGAATTAATCAAGAACCTACTGCTCAACAAATATTCTGAAGGAAACAGAGATAGATCGGACACACGCTGAGGAGACCGTCGGATGTCATGCCAGGCCTTCGCTCGAATGGAACCAGAATGAGAAACTGAGGGTTAGGCTTGGGTTCGAGGGTGATATGGAAGAGGTCGTTTGAGGAGGAGACGAAAGCTTATAGATAACCGTGTGGCCAGGTGAAGAGAACTGCAGAGAATAGGTTGAAATGGAGATGCGCTGTTGAGGCACTATGTTCCAGTATATATATATATATATATATATATATATATATATATATATAGGGAGAGAGAGAGGGCTTTTCATCCTTATGTTTTATTTTACTATGACGTTCTCACGATATCTCTTACCACATGACTAATTCCTATTGATAAATAAAAGTATATTAATGTAATCGTAGAACTTGGACACTGTGGTAGAATATAATTGCATATAAGTGTATTTTACGAGTTGATCACGGACTGATATCAGTTAGAGAACCATTGAAAACTAGGGAGTACTAGACAGCTACTGTTTCATCCTAGTTTGGGAATCATCGGCAGTACGCACCCACTGCACTGGGATTTGAACCCAGGACATTCCGGTTACAAGGCAGACTGGCTCGTATACCATTCAGCCACTGGGACCCGATTCAATGGCTGGTGAATTCTAACTTCTACCCATTCGTGATTTAGCGCGACCCCAACCATTGTCGCTGGTGGGACATCAATTCACACACGTGACATCTAATTGGACCTCACTGGTCACGACGTCTCACTAGTACTCCAGGGAACTCCATCCTGTAGCAAGTCACTAGCAAGCATTGAATATCACACTGTAATGGATGACGTTTCAAGCATAAATTACTGCTCATAATCACATCAGTTTAGTCACATGGCTTCACATTTTGTCTTATATACATTTTCTCTCTTTCTCTCTCTCTCTCCCTGTTCCCCTTGTTGTTTGTTTCCACTTTACATATCTCCAGTATGGGCGTTACGTGTGAGGTGTTGAATCGATAAATAAAGTTTCAGTGACTAACCTCTTCACCTGACTATATTACTTCTTAATACACTCGCTCTGTCCTACCAAATTTTGTGATTACTTGTAGGTGAATACATGTAATGCAGTGGCTCTGCCTTTTTATAGGTTATTTAACTTAGCAGGGACAATCATTCAAGGTCTAGCTAAATTTTTATGTTCGAATAATCTAGTTGACCCCGATCTACTAGTCTGACCTATGTAATTAACCTCACAACCGTTACATAGTATGTGCAGGTTGATAGCAAGACCTCTCCTGCAGAAACCTGGAACAGTATACAGTTACGTGTAGATTTAGATGTAGAGGCTGTTAATAATCTAAAACCAAAAGGTAGCAAAAGCCGGTGGATTTCTACCACTTCATCTGAACTGATTAACGCAAGAAGACTGATTCCGGCAAGCTCCGAATATGATGAGGAGCGAAAGCCGCTCAAAATCAAACTAACAAGAAGTCCTTGCAACGACCGACAAAAGCCAAAGAGATGGAAAAGACATTGACTATATGTAACACCAGACAACTATTTAGGCTTATCAGGGAAACAGGTGGTAAAAGGCAAATGATGATGGAAACAATCTCTGGGAAAAGTGGCACCATAAATAGCTCACAGGACAGACGACTGGAACGTTAGAAAGAACACTTTGAGAAGCAATTCAATTGCCCTACAGCCACACTCAACTTACCGAACATCCAACACCTCCCTGAATGGGTTATAAACACAGGTCCTCCGTCCATCCTAACTAAGCTTAGGAAAGCTGTCACTAGTCTGAAACGAGGCAAAACAGCAGAACCTGATGCAATGACTCCAGAGGTATTTAAGTACGGTGGAGACAATTTCCTGTCTGCGTTAACTGAGGTACTAGTCAACGTCCGGGAATCAGAGGAAGTCCCATCGGGCTGGTGAAAGTCATTTATTATCCCCATATACAAGAAGGGAGACAAATCTTCCTGTGAATAATTACAATGCAATTAGCTTGACTAATATGGTATCTAAAGTTCTAGGTTTACTGATCGTGCTTAGACTAAGTGGTGCTCGGGAGGAACAAACACAAGAGAACCAGGCAGGTTTTAGAACAGGAAGAGAGTGCATTCATCATATCTTCATCTTTCTATAGATTCTGGGATATAGGCATACTTACCGTCGGCGTCCAACAATCATCATATTTCTTGACCTGAAATCGGTATTCGATTCCGTCGACTGAGAATACTATGGCGATAATTGGCTGTGAAGGGGATGGCAAGAAAACACATCACACTGATCAGGGCACTCTACTCAAACTCATGCAGCCAGGTGGGAGCTTACGGTGAGCTGTCATCTGAAGTGGTGAAAACCATTGGTGTGCGTCAGGGATGTCCACCAGTGTCCCCATTTCTCTTTACTTTCACCAAAGATATACCAGTGGACTTAACTCTAACTAACTTCAGCGACTCAGGGATTGACTTGATACCATCAGCGAATAATCTTGTTGACTTAGAATTTGCGGATGGTATAGTCCTGCATCCTAGGCGAAGACGCTGACAAAATAGAGCAGAGTCTTCTGAACACCTTGAACAGTGAGCGATTTTCGAATGTTTGGCATGTGATTCTCTCCTGCTGTCAAATGTAAGGTGATGCTGCAGGACTGGACTACATCGACTCCTAGCTTAAAAACAGATGAGAGTGA